CTCGACCAGGCAGACGTCGACAAGCAGCTCACCAGAGTCGAGAGGTGGTGCCAGAGTCCAGTCCGTTGATACTGACGCGCCATCTGAGATTGCGATCTTGGTCGCAACTTCAACTTGGAGCCCAAATCTGGTCGGTCGCTGTGTATTTATTTAAATATTTTGTCAGAAACGAACATTCTGTATGCAACATTGATTTCAAAGTATTTTAATGTGCAAATTCGCACCAGTGTTTGTATTAAAATTGCTTTGCCTTGGCAAGAGTTCCATATTCCGATATTGCCAAGAGGACGAAGATGCCAGTCGAGATCACCCACACGGAGCATGGCAAGGGCCGCGTGCGCTTGCTCAAGGTAGCATGGCATGCAGACGCATAGCTGACGCTGCTGTGCCAGGTGACCCGGCGCCCCGATATGCATCTCGTCACGCAGCTCGAGGCCGAGGTGCTCCTGGAAGGCCCCGACCGCGCGTCGTTCGTGACGGGCGACAACGCCGCCGTCTTGCCGACCGACACTGTCAAGAATACAGTGCATGCGCTGGCGAAGAAGCACGAGTTTGGCTGCATCGAAGAGTTTGCGCTCATCTTGGCCAAGCACTTTGTGGTCGCGCACCCGAGCGTCGTACGTCGTCGCCTCGTCGATGCACATTGGACGTGATGGTCTGCTGTAGATCCACAAGACCAAGGTCAAGCTGGTCGAGACACAATGGGATCGCCTCGTCACGAAGGATTCAAAAGGCCATGCCCGCCCGCACCACCACGCGTTCGTTCAAGGCGGCACCGAGACGCGCCATGCAACGTACATATGACCCTCTTTCCATCCACATTCGCACACGGCTTGTATCTCGTAGGGCCACCGCGGAACTGCAGGCGAATGGCACGGTCGATATGACGCTAGCGTCGGGCTTTACGGGCTTGAAGGTGCTCAAGACGACGCAGAGCAGCTTTGTGGGCTTTCTGAAAGACCAGTACACGACGCTGCCCGAGGTGCCCGACCGCCTCGTGTCGTCGTCCATCTCGGCGCACTGGGCGTACGCGACGCCGACGGCGAACGCAGCCACAGCCGCTGCCGTGCGCGCGACGTTGCTGGACGTGTTTGCAGGGCCCTCGGACGTTGGCGTGGCGAGCCCCGCGGTGCAGTCGACGCTCTTCCAGATGGGCGAAGCCGTGCTGCAGCGTATCCCGAGCATTTGCCGCATCGAGCTGTACATGCCCAACATCCACAACCTCCCGCTCAACCTCGCGCACTTTGGCCTCCCGAACCTCCACCCGCACGGCGAAGTCTTCTTGCCGACGGACGAGCCCCATGGCATGATCCGCGCGACGCTGCAACGGTCGCCCGCCTCGCGTCTCTAGCTCTCTAGTCCGTCTTACTACGCAGTCGTAGTATAAATGGCGAGTTGATGGAGAAAAAGAATGCATGTTTTGTCATCTCGCAGAGCCCGGAGGAGGCGAAGAAGGACGTTGTAGCGGCAACGGGCGAGTCAGCCGCCTCCGTCCCAGCTTGAACCGTTGTGCGAAGACGGGCCAGAGGGACGACTTGGCCTGGCTATGAGGCCAAAGCGACAGGGCGCGGGTAGCGGGACGTTCGTGACAGATTCCGATTTGCCGGCCGAGCATGAAGTCGACACTGAGCATGAAGAGCCATGGCGTCCCGACATTTGTGCAGAGCTTGTACACGATGCTGGCGGTCGAGGACCCGACGGTGCTGGCGTGGACGCCCGACGGCCTCGCGTTTGAGATCCGCGACCAAGACAAGCTCGCGACCTCGATCTTGCCGCGCTACTTTCGCCACGCCAAGTACCCGTCGTTCCAGCGCCAGCTCAACTACTTTGGCTTCCGCAAGTGGTCCAAGCAGAAGGCGGTCGTGTGCACGTACGGCTGCCCGTTCTTCACGCGCGACGCGCCGCAGCTCCTCCCGCACGTCTCACGGCGGCCGCGCCAAGCGCCACCGTCGCCGCCGACGCCAGTGGCCATCGAAAAGCGCCTCGGACTGCCCTCCAAGATGGAGCTGCCGCCCACGGACGGCCTCGCGACCTTTTTGGACGTGGGCATGGACGACCTCTGCTGGATACTGACCGAGTAGCTCGCTAACTGCGTATTTTATTGGCTAACACACTGTGATGCAAGCAGCGTATCGCGTCAAGCTCAAAAGACTAGAGGTCGTAGCTAGCCGTCGGTGCGGGGACCGGTGCTTCGACCAACGCTGGTGTCTCGACCACCAACGTCGCTGCAACCGCCGGCGTCTCGACCTCGGGCGTTCCAACGACCGGCGTCGAAGCGACCCCAACGTCGTCGTCAATGTGCAGGAGGTTGGTCGCGGCTTGCAAGAGCTGCGCGGTCTCGTCGTTCTCGGCTGCAGCTTCCATTTCCGCTTGTTCGGCGGACGCCGACTTTGGGAGGAACTCGGCGCCAGGGCAAATGGCCTCGAAAATGGCTTTTGCCTCGTCGACCGCCGACTCGAGGACCGACTCGAGCGCCACGGACGTGTGGACGTCGCACACGTGCACGTTATGCGGGCGCGTCGAGGATGACGACGGCGCGTAGACGGGCAGTGTAAAGATGGCTTCCCAGACCGGTGGCGACTCTGGGAAGGACGACGCGACCACGTGTTGCACGAGGTGCACCATGGCTGCGGTCGTCGTCGCTTCGTTCGTGAGCGTCGAGACGTGCACGAGCGTGTACTCGGCGGGGCACACGGCCGTCGTGCTGTCCAGCGAGATGACGTGCATCGCATACGGGTGCTCGAGCAGCATCTTTGGTGGGACGACCAGCACCGTGCGCGGGCGCGTCCCCGGGAGGAGGAAGAGCCCGCGCAGCAGCCGCGTCGTCGTATGGGGCGCGACGCCAAAGGACGACGCGTACATGGCGTTCAAGACAAAGTGACGGCCCTTCCACGTCTTCTTCTCGGGCGTCGACGTGGTGAGGCCCGTCACAAGCTTCTCGGATGTCAACACACCGGCTAGCGGCGCGCGGAGGTAGTAGATGCCGCCGTAAACAGCGCTGAGGCGGCAAAAGGCCTGGGCGACCTCCGAGATGCCGTAGAGCGGCGTCAGAAATGGCGACGGCGCGAACCGGCCGATGGACGAGAGGAAGCCGTAGAGGCGGTCGAGGCTCGGCGTCGGCGGCAGCGGCGCGCTTGGTGCTGTCGTGAGCAGCAGCACAGCGTGCAAGACGACGTTTTGCAGCGTAGGCGAGAGCTTGAAATGGTCGCGCAGCATTGCGACAAAGTCCGAAGCCGTGTCGAGCGCTCCGAGAGCGTCCTTTTGGTTGCGCTTGTTCTGGGGCCGCTTGAGCGCGCGGCCCACCGCGAGGTCGCGCTCGTTGAGCGTCGTTGCGTCACCGTCGCCTACGCGGCCACGTGAGCTTCGCACACACCTTGTCGGACTACCATAGTCGGCGACAAATTGGAGAAACTTCATCAAGTGGCGCTTCTCGAGCACCGAGAGACGGCTCTTGAAGACGTCGGTCTTGGAGCACGGTACTTGCCACACGGGCGGATCTACATGCGTAAGAAGACGATGTCGAAGGCGGAACATGCGTACGGGGCGGCTGCGGCGTAAACATGCACGTCTCGTGCATGGCCATAAAGTCGAGGTACCGGCCGACGCCCGAGTGCACGAGGACGTCGACGAGCGGGCTCGACGAGAGCAGCACCTTGGGCTGGATGTCCAAGCTAAACGCATTGGAGCGCGGTGCAAAGCCGTCGGCGCGGGCTTCGTGGAGCCGCGTGCAGTGAAACGTCGAGGCGAACGGCGCCTTCGCGTCCATCGGCGCGTCCATCCAGGCGTTAAACTGGTCAAAGTTGAGCGAGGCAAAGTTGGAGCCATAGTAGTCGTTCTACGCACGCGTGTTGACGTCGGCGACGGCGAGACCATGTACTTACGGTGTCCAGATGCAGCACTTTCTGGCCAGCGCGGGCGAGGGCGCTACGCTGCAGCATGCAGGAGGCCGGTCGGAGTACGTCATGAGAGCGCTTACCCAGCGACGATGGACTCGACGATGCCCGTGCCCACGATCACGACGTCGTACTCGGTCTCAAACAGCGCGTCGTCCATCGCTCGTCGTCGCCGCAGTGAACGTTCGATCGCACTGTATTTTCAGCTCACTCTATTTCGGCTATGAAATAGTATAGTGTGATTTGGGTTATATAGGTTTTTAACCGTTTACCTTCTTTTGCGACGACGAACAGCGGCCCCGCTTTTCTGAATACAATGATGAACACTGGGGTCATACAGAGTATGGAGACAGCGTCTTGAAACCGTGTTCAAACGCTGGAATGTCGAGCTTGTCGGCAGGAAATCGCTCTCGGGGACTTGCGCCCCAAACACCAAGCAATATACTGTGTTTTAGCACATCAAATTACACTGGTTCCTTGTCGCTAGTATCGTCATCGTAGCGCTGGCGTAGAAATGCCATGCATGCTTCACGTCCGCTCCTGTGCGCTGCTTGGAGCAAATGCTCGCCGCGGTATTTCGGGTACCGGTCCCAGAGACACTCGAGCATGCGTGCGTTGTCGGTCTCGATGGCCTTTGTGAACGCGTCTGCCGAGCCATCGCGGTCGCAGTGGTCCATGAGGAAGGCTGCAATGTCCAAATCGCCCGACGCCACCGCCTTCTGCAACGCGTCGGCCGTGCACTTGGCGGGGGAGTACGTGTGGAAGAATTGAACGAGGTCCCAGTGGCCCATGCCACACGCCTTGTCCATCCAAGCCGCTCTCCACTGGACGCCACGCTCAACGATGTAGCGAACGGCGGCGATCGGGTCCTTACTCTGGAGGAGCGCCGTAATGTCGTCGCAGTCGCGGGGTAGGTGGTAGATGCGGTCGTACTGCGACAAGTAGAGCAAGACGTCAAAGCCACCAGTCGCTAGCACATCTGCGACAAGGCCAAAGCGCGTCTCTCGCGTGGTTTTCAAATGGACGCAGCCGTCGCGAACGCCTCCAAGGTACTCGACGACATGCAAGTGACCTGCTTTGGCGGCAGCTACAAACGCAGCGCTGAGATCACCTTCCGCTCGAAAATCGACCAAGAAGCGCACGACGTCCAAATGACCAGCCTCGCTCGCGCCCCGGAGCGCCGCGTCGGTGCAGCCTTCCGTCCGATGCTCGTGCAAGAAACGCACAACGTCCAAGAAGCCATGCTTCGCTGCTTCGTCCATCGCCTTGGTCGAGCACGCGACGCCAGCTGCGTGGAGCTGCTGCACCAAGGACAAGTAGCCCTTGGCTGCCGCAGCGTCAAACGTGCGATCGTCGGCGAGGCCCGGGTCGCTCGCATACAAGATGGCAGCGAGCACCGGTGCGCTGTACCGAATCGCATGGTTGAGGAGGTCATCGGGCCACTTGAGAGTGCCTTGGTACGCGACAAGAAAGTCAAAGGCCTCGGGTGAATCGCGCGCGACGACGCTGTAGATGAGCGACCGCCCGACCTTTTCGAGGTGACTCCAGCCCCTCGGGAAACGGCGACAAGCGAGGCCTGGCCATTGCATCTTGACGTCAATGAGGCATTGCGCGAGCGGAATGTGGTTGTGCAAGATGGCCACGTCAATGGCTTCTTCGCTGGCGAGGTCCGGACGGCACGCGAGGATGCGAAGCGCGTCGCTTTGGGCCCCTTCGGCGATGGCGAGGTGCAGCGGGAAGCGATCGTCCGGCCCTTCGTCAACAGCGAGGCCCAAATCGCTTGATGCAATACTGTCTTGGCCCGAAACATCCCGAACGAGGTGTTTGGCGCTCGTGGCAAAGCCGTCGTCGACGACGTACTCGGCCTCTTCGTCTTCGTCCGCAGCGGCTTCGTACAGCACAGAGTTGTGGTAGGCACAGAAGCGCGGACGCACGTCAAAGAAGACGCCAGCCTGGTAGCTGCACACCAGCCGGCAGAGGTCGTCCTGCGTCAACGCTTGGCGGGCTGCCATCGCTGCGGTCACGGATTGTTGCGAGTTTGCTTCGTTTGATTATCCGGATCCGACCTTTCTTTAACCGGAATAGTGTGAGTGATGGTCGTTGTAAATATGCCGGTAGCGGCGGCTGCCACGTCATCACACCAACGCGCACACGCAGCAATGTCTCTGGCAGCGCGCCGATTGCTCCATATCTAGAACTCAGATCGATCGTTCATGTAGAGACGCACCTAGACCACAAAGCTAATCCACAATCATATGTTCATAGTCCACATCGCCTATTACTCGAGGGTAAACGCCATCGACTCGAGCCGCAGAAGTGTAAAGAGCGCGTCCTTCATGAGGCCGCGGCTCGGGTACAAGGGCAGGTCGATGCGGTTGAAGCACGTGTGCACCTTGGGGAGGCACCCGCGTGTGTACGCTGTCGCGTGCAGCGTGAAGAGACAGAGCTTGCCGTCGTAGCTCGTGAGGCCCTTGAAGCCTTGCAATGGCACGCGCGACGACCCGGTCGTAAAGTGCAGAAACTTTGCGTGGTCCTCTGGCCGCATGTCAAACTCGAGCACGTCCCAGAACCACTCGAGCGCGTTCGTACACTGGAGCGAGCGCGATACGATCGTGTGCGTGCGCCAGTCGCTGACGTCAATCTCGGCCGTACCGCAGAGCACGAGCTCCAGCTCCTTGTAGTCAAACACAGAGAGGAGCTCGGGCGGCAGCACCGTGTAGAAGCCTCGGACGAGACGTCCGATCTGCTGCGACCACCGACCGCAGAGCAGATGCCGCACCATCGCATCCACGTATATGGCCTTGTTTCCACTGGTCACGTCGGTCAGGCGGCCGCTTGGAATCAAGTCGAGTACGTCGTGGCCGCCATCGACGGCTGGCACGAGCACGCTAAAGTCCAGTGCGAGCGCTTCGACCATGTCGGTCGCCTCGACAAACTGCAGACTCTTGTACGTCGTCTCGTCCATGTACCAGACGTCGCGCATCGACACAGGCGACCCCAGCAGCGCCTTGAAGAGCGGGACGCACAGCCGCATCGGCAGCACTTGGCCGTCGATGATGGCTTTGCCGAGAAGGCGGCCCACCGCCTCGATCTTGGCCAAATCGTCTGGCGACGTTGCGCCCGGGTGCAGCATGTACACGTTGTCCTGCGTGTTGGTGACCACAAAGAGCTTGGCTGACTCGTCCATGATGGCCTGCGCAAGCACCGTGTACCACTCGCGCTGGACGCCGCCGGCATCGAGCGCGTCTTCGCCGGCCATCGTGACGCGCGTCGTGCTGCAGAGCTCGGTCGGTGGCAGCTGCATCAAGAAGGCGAGCGACTGGTCGAGGAGCTTATCGCGTGCGACCGTAAACCCGCTGCGAGAGTCGTACGACGCCGCCATCTGCTCGAGCATCCACGCGTACTTGAGCGAGAAGGGCAAGGACCGGAGTTGCGCCACTTGGACCGCATACCAGTCTGGGATCGTCTCGCCCGTGACCGTGACCGTGGCGGGCGTCGT